ATAACCAAGACATCTGCTGTGTCTAGTTGTGCACTGAAGGTGCCAGCTGTACAGTGTGCGGCAGTGGCGCAATCCACAGTGCGCGCCTGCGCGGCCTGGCCGCCGGCTCGGACGCTCCGAGCGCGCGGAGGCGACGGGGGCAGCCCGTGCCCCGGATGTGTCCCGGTGACCGGGCGCCACGCGTCGCCGGCCGTGGGGCAATCTGGCGCGGACAGCAGAGGCACGGCTCGGCGCGGCGCAGCCAGCCGCGCCATGCTTTCCTGAGCACGGATAATGGCCACGCCGGGTCTGCCGTCATGCCTGGCGGTGGCGCAACGGCCGGAGGCACCGCCAGCTTTAGCGGTCCGTATGGACGAACATAAACACATGTACACCACGTCGACAAGCGCATACGAGCACGTGGACGAAGCCATGCAAACGTGTAAAGGCAACGATCACGTCGTATAAGCCGACACACGAAAGTGCGACGCGCACGTTTGTGTACCGCGCTCTCCGCGCTCGTGCGGCTCGGTCGTGCTGGGCGGCGGCGGTCGACGTGCGGCGGCGGTCGGGGCGCGCGTCGGGCGGCGGTCACCTGCGGGCTGCGGCGCCGCAGTTGCCGGCGCCGCCACCAGGTGCGGCTTCCGGCCATCGATCCCGACGCGACGCTCGGCGGCCGCCAGTGCGTGACGCCGCCGCGGCATGGCGGCCGTGTCGGGCTCGCCGCTGCGGCTGCTGCTGCTGGCCGTCTGCTGGGCGGCAACAGGTACGCGCGGTGGCGCGGCCCGCTCTGGCCGGCGCGCTGAGGAACTGCGGGCCCGGGCAGGGTGCGCTAAGGGACTGCGGGGCCCGGGCAGTGCACTTCGAGGGACTGCGGGACCAGGCAGGGCGCGTTAGGGGATTGCGGGGCATGGGCAGTGCGCTTCGAGGGACTGCCTCCCCGGGCAGTGCGCTTCGAGGGACTGCCGCTCCGGGTAGTGCGCGGAGGGGGACTGCGGGTCCGGGCAGGGCACAACGGTCAGGCGGCAGGTCACGACATTAGCTGCAGCCAAGAGCTGGGTGGTTGGGTGGAACTTCACCTGGGTAGTTCTATCCAAAAAAATACCATTACCAGAAGATGATAAAAGTTGCCAACTTTGCTATTTCGCTAACTGCATTATTCCCCACCCAATCCGCTATGGTTGCGCGCTGGGTGAAGACCGAGAACTTTTTACGCCTCTACAACAAGAATGCATTTAGCTGTTGATCGAGCGCATGTCTGAGTTATATTACAGGTGTTTGGGATGCGGCTCTTCTGTTGGTCGCTGCCGCGCGAAACACAATCCGATGCGTGTTTGCTTACTTGCCTGGAGTTTGCCAGCAGGCATATGGCTTTAGATGTCGATGGTCATGTTGGCGATGCTGACCGTACATTCAGCTAGCGTAGGCTCATCGTTCGCGTGCAGTAGCTGAGGATGTATCATCGGAGCACGATGGGCCACTCAGATGCACTTCAGAGTTTGGGTCACTCGCCAAAGTTAGACGCTCATCAGTACGTTGCAGGGCATTTCCACAGCCATATTCCCACATTCCGCTCGCCACTGGGACTGAGTCACGTAGCTGAAAACTGCTTAGCTTTCCTGTAATGTAACAGTCTTTGGCCCTCTGCCTCGGAAGGACGTGACTTGGAACGTCGCCCATTTTAAGATAGTTCTTAAATGACATTCATCCTTCAATAAACGTCAAACGTTTTTCTGCGCTAAACGAAGCAAGCTTTTACGTTAAAGTGATGTGCGATTTCAAGCACATCGTCATGCTTTGTATGGTTTGCTGTGTTTTAGGTCCATGCGTGACTAAATTACGTAAGCTGCTCAAAGCATTGGCGAGGAACATTATTCACATACATAAGGCAGAAGTAAAAGACTTGTTCCTCCGGGAAAAACCGGGAGAATGCAGACATAGATACATCGATATTTCAGCAACATGTCTTTAAAGAAATATGGACCCATCTATATCTGCATTCTCCTGTTTTTTTCTCCGAGGAAGAAGGCTGTTACTACTGTCTTATGTACATGCGTGACTACTAATTTTCACGAATCACATTTGTGCATATAACTACACACCATTTGGCATGAGACCAGTTATAGTAACTGGCTGCGGATTTCCTTTGATATTAGGAGTAAATGAATGCATTTGAATGAGGTTTTACTGAAGTCATATGAAGTTAAAACGTATCTGGCGTCAACTGATAACAAACCTGGATCTTCGTTTTTAGAAATCAAGCTAGCTATGCTATAAAACAGTTACACTATGTGATTAATCTTATTATCTCAGATAATAACACTCAATTAATTGAGCTATCTACAACTGCTATGACTCCGTCAATGTCCGTCCAGCAAACTAGCTGCTCCCAATCCATCCCCACGATAAATTATTAATGGACAATTTGTCTACGCGTTCATCTGCATCACTGATTCAACAGTCAACTACAGCTACTGGAAGAAACCCCCATTGTCCGTGTGGTACGTGGAGCTCGCCACCGCCATGCCCAATGAAATCTAGGCAAGGCGCAGGCGCGTGTGCAAAATTTCATAAAGCTGGGCATAACCGCATCTGAGAAAACTGGGAAAAGCTGAGAAAACACCTCAGCGCACCGAAAGTACGCGAAATTTCTTACGTGACGAATAACAGTGTCGCATGTTCTCGTTCTGCTTATTTGGGGCGTAATGGCCGCGCGGTTAGCACCTTCGGCTCCCGCGTGGCGGCCGCGGTTCGAATCCCGGTGGCTCCATAACCCCTGATCGCTAATATGGCATCTGCAGTTGCTGGCGTGTCATAACAAGGTGCGTGATGACGTGCGGTCTCTACCCTGGGGGATTCGACGAAGGCGGCACGTGACCCTAATGCCCCACCCGCCCCTGATGCATCACTCGCCAGCCGTGCGTGGCGTGCAACGCGTGACCGTCCCCAATTCACGCGAGCGGCCCGCTGTAGCCTGAAGTTCTTTGTCGAGATGAAGCCGATGCCGCGTCACGCAGCACCGCGCTGTACACGGCCGCCGCGCTCCACTAAATGAGCCATTGCAGGGCGTTCTGGCGTGAGGGTCGGCGTGCATTGGGCCATATATTCCCTCCGGCGGTGCTCGGTGCTCTGTGTGTGGCTGTCGACCGGAAAGATCATACCTATGCATGGGAAAGCGGATAACCTTTGCTGTTGCCGCGGAAGACAAACGCCCTGTAAGAAGAGCGCGCAGGGTCTACCAGGGCCGAGTGGATTGCGATGGTGTTATTATTTGCCCCACGCGAGGTATTCGCTGTAGACAGTCAGTATAACAAAGGGATGGGTTTTTGTTCTTTATGCTTCCAAGGTTTTTGGCATGGCACCCAGATTTGTGGGAATGCAATGCAGTAGACTCAGGATTAGTAGTTTTGGAGCAGTCTCATCGTTTATTAGCAGCAGTCTGGTCCTAAGTCATGCCGTTCTGTATTTGACATGAATCCGATTACTTTTGACGCGTGCCCTAATTTCCGATTTCGAAGTCATATTCTGACTCCGAAATCTAGAGCCTAAACGCGCACTGATTATGTCAATTTTTGTAGTTTGATAGATTTTCATTTCGAACGGAATATGTTAGGAGGACCAAAGTTTGAAAACCGACTCTGGGATTCCACAGTCTCCTTCGCTGTCCAAACCGTCTCCTCAAGTATGAGGTAACTTTAATGAAATGCTGAGCCGCCTATTGCTAGTGGCTGTTGGAAAGATCCCGACGCAAATCCATTGCTCTCTAGACCGTGATTCCAGTTTGTTGCCAAAACGCTCTGTACCAATGACTGAAGCAAGCTCAATTTTTACCTTCTTCAGTTACAACGAGGCACGTCGGAAGACATGGCGCCTACCATGAAGACCCCAGCCACAACAACCAGCGTCTCGCCCAGATCCTGCAGACGACGTATCAAAAAAACAATCGAGCAGCCGGCGACCGGATGACCGATTTTTATCCGGACCGGGTGTTCGACCTGTACGCGGACCGGATCTCGGATCCATATCCGGACCGGACGGACGATCCATACCGGGACCGAACGATACAGCGGGACACGGACCACCGAATGGCGGGCCTTCATCCGGACCGGGCAGATATCCTCTTTGCGGACAGGGATAGTGATCTTTACCCGGGTTGGGCGAAACATTTGTCCGTGGATAAGATGCGCCCTCTGGCGTCCGCAAATGACCGGATGCATTTAAGCCAATCGGCCAATGACTGGGCAGATCTCAGTTCTCCTATCGGTGATTGGACAGATTTTAGCCAGCCTGAAATTGATTGGACGGATTTTGGTAAGCCCGTAGATGATTGGGTTGAGCTGATGATTCCTGCAAGAAGCTTTAAACCTCTCAGCAGCAATGACTGGATGAGTCGTGAGGAGGCTGCAAATGACGTCACACAGCTGCGGAAACGCCAAGACGCTTTCCAGCTTCCACGACCGCAAGGCAGCGGCGGGGCCGGGCTCAGCAGCCGTTTGGAAGACATCATCGACGAGCTGACGGCTGCACGCTCACAGAAAGTCCAAGCAGACAAAGCGTTCCTCGCCGATGACCTGAAGGACGACGCGTCCCTGCCGGCCGACTGGAGGGTTGGCGCACCTTCACCGCACGCCACCGATCACTTATCTCCGCGGGACATCGGGGCTGACGCCGGGGCCGACCGGACGGACCACGCAGCGGCCGAGCACGACTGGGCAGACGACCCCAAGCGCAGGGACGAGGTGGTTAATGTGATGCACGCTTTGACCGGCCGCACGCGGGGTCGGTCGCGCGACAGGGCGCCTGCCGCAGCAGCTGACCTCAGCGGCGTCGCTGATATCGAGAGGGCCTCCCGGACGGAGGGCTCAGCGGCTGCGTCGACACGCCGGCGCCGCACGAGGGCGAGAGAGCGCCGCCGCCCGCCGGCCGGCGCCGAGCCAGAGCCGGAGCGGCCTCAGCCAGCCGGCGCCGCTGCTGGAGCGCGGCGGAGAGCAGCCGCCGGCGTCGCCGCGCCGGCTCTGGCTTTGGTTGCTCGGCGGCGCCGTCTCCGCGGCTGCCTTCCTCGTCGGAGTGGTGGTGAGTGGTTCGGTGCGGCCGGGGCGATCAGGACCAGTGTCTAGGATCAGGACCTAGTCCTCGACCAGGACCAGATGTCGTGAGGTGATGACAAATGCCTTCCATGACGCAACACCTTCCCTGGCTAGCCCGTCTATCTATCCATTAGCATATAATGATAGGTCCAGAGTGCATTCGTGGTCATAGTCAGGGGTACAGTTTCTGAAAATATGTTGGAGGGGGAGCTTAACCATATAAATGTCGAAACCTTCCTCCAAGATATGCAATAAGCCGGTTTCCTTGGCACATCTGACCTACTTTCTTCCCAAAGCTGTGGAGCAGGAGGGAGGGGAGGGGGGGGGGGCTGGAACCTCCAAACAGATATGAAGGCTTGCCCCTAGTCACGCACCATTTTTGTCACCACACGCTATCACGGAGTAAGCGCTCTCGTTTATCAGGCGTGTGTTATAGAGACGCGCAGCAGTTTGGTACACAAGCCCCGACGGCCCACATTACCAGTCGCGTGGGCTGCCACTTACCCCTCCCTATACGGGCATGCATGAGCAGCACGTGCACAGAGGAGCTGCACCCAGACGAGGTGCTGTGCGATCGGCCGGCAGGCGATGTGCCACTGGCGGCGCAGCCGGCGGGATCCGGGCCGGATCCGTCAGTGGATCCCGCACCGCGTGCTGCGCATGTCCACCGAGGAGGCGGACGCGCCGCCGCCGGACCCGGAGCACGCTGCCACCGTCCCACCGACGCTGGCCAAGGTACAGGTCGGCGCGCGCGCCAGGGGCTGGACCTGACCTGGCCTTGGTAGTGGAAGCCGCATGCTTCGGCCGACAGCAGCAGACCTTGCGTGTGCTAAGATATTGAACCTGAGCTACCTTTTGAGCTCCTTTTTGTGTTTCCCTGTGGAAGATGTGGTATGCACTGAGCTCGCTGGCATCGTCGCTTCACCTGCCGTCACGGCTCCCAGGCCAAAGGACTGCTGGAGAGGAGGGGCTCCAACAACTCACTGACCATCCAGGTGCAGCAATCTACCGAGGACACGGAGACTATCCGCTCCGCTGGGATGGAATGGTGAGCCAGAGACAAATGTACTGGCGGCTCCAGACTCTGTCATTTGTTCTGGAGTAAGTGGGCCTGGAATGAGATTTAGTGGCACCGGTGCGCCTCCTGCCCTGCGTGATGTACGGTTGATGGCAAACAAAGCAGGTAGAAAATACATCAACTAGCATTATTCCCGTAGATGGCTTAGGGCGTAAAAACGCCTCCACTATACCTACTGCGTAATATTGTGGATAGCGTTTAAGCTTTTGGATATGTGCGTCCAAAAACAGCCGTGTCGCGATAAACATAGTGTTGTCTGCCGACCAACCAGCGAAGCGGTATCCTGTTCACCGACAGCCGGTGGTGCAGTGCCGTATCTGTCGGGAGTCACGCAGTACGATGTCCCGCCTTCCCACAGCCCGGTGCTGCAGTGTCCCATCTTCCCGCGGTGCTGCGGTACATCCCGCCTTCCCACATCCCGGTGCTGCAGTGTCCCATCTTCCCGCAGTGCTGCGGTACGTCCCGCCTTCCCACATCCCGGTGCTGCAGTGTCCCGTCTTCCCGTGGTGCTGCGGTATGTCCCGCCTTCCCACAGTCCGGTGCTGCAGTGTCCCGTCTTCCCGCGGTGCTGCGGTATGTCCCGCCTTCCCACAGTCCGGCGTCCCAGTGTCCTCTCTGCCCAGAGTCCGGCGGTGCAGTGTCCTCTCTGCCCAGAGTCCGGCGGTGCAGTGTCCTCTCTGCCCAGAGTCCGGCGGTGCAGTGTCCTCTCTGCCCAGAGTCTGGCGGTGCAGTGTCCTCTCTGCCCGAGTCCGGCGTCAGTGTCCTCTCTGCCCAGAGTCCGGCGGTGCAGTGTCCTCTCTGCCCAGAGTCCGGCGGTGCAGTTCCTCTCTGCCCAGAGTCCGGTGGTGCGGAGTTCCATCTACCTACACTACGACAGTGCAGTACCGATGGGTAACTGTCCGCCTACCCCCAGCCCGGAGGTGCAGTTTCTAACATCGGCCGGCAACCGCCTCTCGCGGCGTCAGCTGAGGGAGACCGAGTGGAATTCATCCGCACTGCGCGCCGAGTTCTGGGACATCCCGCTGAACTTCCCCGACCGGTGTCCCATGCCGGGCACAGGTGCCAATAACAGATACAAGTGAGTCAGTATTGGGCCCGTCTCAACTGGACAATCCGTCTTCGTGGCGCACCGAGCGACACCGAGCTGTGGTGTACGGGTATCCGAAAACAGATCCGAAGATGGATGTGACGCTGAAAAGCGACGACGTCACTCCACCTGACATAAGCAAGAAAGGCGTTAAGCTCCTGGTTTTCGGCGTTATGAGTTCTGAAATATTCTGTTGGAAATAATCGACTTTTAGCCCGCCAGAACACATTTCTTAAGCGACGTTTAACCAATCTAACTGCTGAATAACGTGCTGGTCAAAGGCAAATGCTCAATATTACCAATGCTTGTTTGATGACGTCGTTGAGTCATTACCTCCTGGCAGACACCTGCCTGGATCTCAAGAGCACACCCAAAATCCTACGGGGTTCGGTGCTTATGGGATCCTGAGATGTTCGCATCGAACTTCGATCGCACCCTTGGATCTTTTTGGACCCCAGCCATATGTTGGCCCACTGGTACACTAAAGAGAAATTGTCTTCAGCATGAAAACTCCCATCTCATAAGGATATTGCTCTACGCTTCTTTTAGCATGAGCGCAAATAATTATGTTTGCGATGCAGCTCATCATAGTCACATGAAAACGTTAGCGTGTGTATCGGCTTCGAATGAGCAGAGACATTGCGCAGGTCTGTAGTTTACTCCGCTGCGTCGAAGCTCAAGGCCGTGGACTTTAACAGGTTTTCGTTCGCAGCACCGTTATTCCGAACGAGCATTCCCGGGTGCTTCTGCCCGCGCGGCCCGAAGATCCACTGAGCACATACATCAACGCAAACTGGATCAAGGTGAAACTGGTGTCCGTTAGAACGCCCGCGACAGACCCGCCTAGCCACTGATAACCATCTGTGTGTGCGTGAGACGACCCCCAGCTTCTGCAGCCGCCGGTCTGAGATGAGCCCTGCAGAAGCCGCAGTTGTCAGTATGGGACGATTTGCCTGTTACCGGCCGCTGCCCGTCCAACCGCTGCCCGTCCCACGTACGGTGACTCGGAGTCCAGACCCATGCGTACCCCACGCTCGCCCCTGCACCCCGGCAGGGGTACGACGGTGAGGAGCGGGCGTACATCGCCACACAAGGGCCGCTGGCGCACACGCTGGGCGACTTCTGGCGCATGGTGCTGCACCACCGCGCGCCGGCCGTTGTCATGATCACCAAGCTGCGCGAGGACGAGCGCATCAAGTGCGCCGGCTACCTGCCCGAGACGCGCCAGACGTCCTGCTTCGGCGGCGTCCAGGTCACCGTCCAGTGCGCCCGACCCCGCAGCGGCTACACCGTGCGTCAGGTCCTGCTGCAGGTGCGTCCGGAGCCGTCCCAGGAGCGCTTACTGTCCAGGCGTGTGCTCTGTGGGGCCCAGTCCAGGAGTGGTTCCTTGAGTGGTTAATGTTCAGGTGTGCCCTGTGTGGTCCGGTCCGGGCGTAGTCCCAGTCTGGGTGCGTCCTGAGTGGTCCTGCAACAGGCATGCACGTCCTGTGCATTGCATTCTCAGCAGTTGTCACGATTCATGTTCGCCCAGTGAGGTCTTAAAAATGGTCATGATGTGGCTTCGTCTGTCCGAATTGAAAAAAGCTGATTGTGCATGTGACGCTTCCACCGCTATTTCACGAGATTTACTTCGTGTCGCCGCTGCAAGCAAGTGGATACGGTTTGAACGACATCTGGGGATCCAGTGGACAGTGAACACGAAAGCTGACGGCAGCACGTCTCGTAGTTTTGTGTTAGTTAAAATGGATGGAGGTGGTCATATATCAGTGCTACAATCGGTTGGTAAACAAACCCGTTCGTCTGTTTAACCGACCTCGTTTTACGTGACTTTGACGGCGTCAACATGCCACGCGTCCCCATACACGCACGTGGTCTCCCCCATTATGCTGAGCGTAGTAGTGGCGGAAGTATTCCCCTCCCCCCTCCCCCACCCCACCCACCACCGCCGTCACCGCGCCGTGCATGCGTCCTACCCCGTAGCTGCCCCTGACGGTGTTCTGCGTCGTAGTGCGGCGAGGAGCGGCTGGAGCTGCGCCACTTCTGGTTCACGGCCTGGCCGGACCACCAGGCGCCGGACCACAGTCGCCAGCTGCTACAGATGGCCGCTGAGGTGGAGACGGCGCGGCGCAGCCAGCAGCGCCGGCCTCCGGTGAGTCTCCCAGGGACCGGGCAGGGGTCAGTGGTAGCACCGGCTTCCGTCTGAATACCCACGGCTCTGGCAGGGTTTAGGGGCAGTGCCGGCCCTCTTGTGGGCCTCAGGGCAGGGTAACTCTGGTCCCCGTGTGACCCTCCCGGGGCTCTGGCGGGTGTCAGGGTAGCTCTGGCCTCCGTGTGAGCCTCCCGGGGCTCTGGCGGGGGTCAGGGTCAGCTCCGGTCTGTCTATCCGTGTGAGCCTCCGGGCTCTGGTGGGAGTCAGGGGTAGCGCCGGCCCTCTCGCAAATCTCCTGGCAATGCCAGTTCCCAGCGAGCCCCCGGAAGCCCTCCCGATCGGGAACAGAAGTCAGGCCCACTGCTCTCCCTTACCGATGCGCTCAGTGGCGGGAAATCACGGGTCGATGTAGTATTACCAGTTTCCCGTGCAGCTGACTTCACAGATGTCGTTTTTGTGAAGACCATTAGTGCTATCTGCTACGACTCCTCCACCACGATACCACCACCCTGCTGCGTCGAGCCGCAGGCTGTGTCTGCTGATCGCACCGCAAAGAACTTGATGAAGAGGTGAATTCGGAGCGAGTTTATCTGCCTCTCAGACCTCAGAGCTTGAGTTCACCTCCCTCTCAGACCTCAGAGCTTGAGTTAGCACATGTCTCCTACAGGGCCCGGAGGTGCCCCACACCCTGTTGACCTCCACCACACCTCCCGCGGAGCTCAGCGGTGCTCTACACCCTGTTGACCTCATCCGTACCTCCTGCAGGCTTCGGTGATGCTCAACACCCTACTGACCTCGAGCGCACCTCCCGCAGGGTCCGGTGATGCTCAACACCCTACTGACCTCGAGCGCACCCCCGCAGGGCCCGGTGGTGGTTCACTGCAGCGCCGGTATCGGCCGCACGGGCTGCTTCATCGCTACCTCGATCGGCGCATGCCAGCTGCAGCAGGAGAACAGCGTGGATGTGCTGGGGATCGTCTGCGGCCTGCGTCAGGACAGGTGGGCGGCGCCCGGCCGCCTGGCTGCTGCGCTCCGGGACGGACTCGGCGTGCGCTGTCGCCACGCGGGGAGGCGAGAGCTGGGCCGAGACGAGGGAGGGGTCAGAGCTGGCTTTGTCGGCGGCGTGACGTCATGTGACAACACCCTGCAGGCGGGAACCGGAAATGATCCTCAACGTGCTGTTTTTTATTGTATGGTAATCGCTTATTGTTGACCGATGTGCACAGTCATGGGTGAGTAACAGGACTCTGGCTGCGCCCCTGTCTAGTCTTGTGCAGGATGACCACCCGTCGCCAGCCATAACCGACAACGGCTAGTCTTGGTCGTGGCTTAGTGCTGCGTCACGTCTGATATCACGTGATGGGACACTGCAGCTGGTACCGCCGCTGGCAGCGGCTGGCTGCCGATCACACGTCATCAGGTCGTTCCGACATTTCCACTGTTATTCACTTGCCTGGCAGACTGGGCATCAAGTGGACAGCGCACGGTGTAATCAGATAATACGAGCTGCTTCGGCTAGGTTTTGGCTGGTAAAAAGACAAATAGTAGCTTGCAGCTTGTATTAAATCATGTTTAAAGCATTAATATGCAAGGAAATGTACCGAGCAAATTCAGATATGACACAAGGCTAACAATGTCTGTGCCAACCGGCCAGTTTTCAGCGTTGATGCATAAGTGCGCGAGCATATTCCCGCGCATGGTCTGCTCTCTGGCAGCGGAGCACAGTGCGGGCGTGCTGGCGCTGACCCTGGCCCCGCCTCCGTCTCCTGCAGGGGAGGAATGGTGCAGACAGCCGAGCAGTACATCTTCCTCCACAAGGCACTGAGGGACTTCGAGGCGACTCTGCCGCCCATCGGCAGCGCGGACAAGAGGATGATGTCCAGCATGCGCTGAGCGGAGGAGGTGGACCCTCACTAAACGGCACGGCGGAGGATCTCAAGAAGACGTGACACGACGAATTCTTTACAGCACGATGCAATAACCTGGCATGCCTTCGTTGCCATTTGGTGTTTATTAGCGAGGCCATTTTATGGTATGTGGGAAAGACGATCTCGAGATGCTCCGTTGATTATCATACAAGTGCAGATATCAGATGGCGATTAGGAGTTAAATGACGCTGGTTGCATCACCCCAGCATATTCTTTTCCACTGGTTTCACGAGTTCCATGGATCCAGCCTCTGGGACACCCTCAAATAATCCTTGAAGACCATCGATCATGTCATGTGCTCGGGACTGAGCCATTTTCAGAGTAGTTGTCTAAGGAAAAGCAATCTTCACTTTTAACGCGCTCTACTATCCACTGGCGCTATTTTGACACCAATGCAAGAACGACAATGAGTAAAAACCACTGCTATTCATACAACCACTAACATCTGTGTTACAGAATCGAGGTTCGGGCCAGTACATAAATGACGCCATATTAATAATGCCCTGCATTATTCGTCACCATAACGATAGCCGCATTAGAGGTGACGAGGTGCTGACGGAGTTCATGCTTGTCAGTTCGCGAGTCACGAAGGCTCTCCTAGGGACGGATGTCGGCGCACTCCTGGGAAGTCCCCTGCTTGACGTCCACTGACGCCCACTCCTCTCCCTGATGACGCCTACTGACGGCTATCTCGGCCACTTTACGACGGCCGTCCTGATGGCGGTCACTGTTGACCATGTTGGCCCCTTCACGATGACTCTCCTGATGACGCCTATTGGTGGTTATATCGGCGCTCTACAAGGAATCCCGATGACGCCCACTGCTGGCTATGTTGACCTCCTCACGACGACCCTCCTGGTGACGCCTACGGGTGGCTATCTCTGCCCCTTTACGACTCCTTATAGCACTCACTGATGGCTATCTCTGCCCCTTTACGACTCCTTATGACCTAGGCCTTATAGATACTCACTGTGGCTATCTCTGCCCCTTTACGACTCCTTATGGCCTCACTGGTGGCTGTCTCGCCCCCTTTACAACATTTGATGACGTCCACTGGTGGCTATCTCTGCCCCTTTACGACTCCTTATGGCGCTCACTGGTTGCTATCTCGCCCCCATCACAACTTCTGATGACGTCCATTGGTGGTTATGTCGGCCCTTTACGAGGACTCCCGATGACGCTCACTGCTGGCTACGTTAACCTCCTCATGACGACCCTCCTGGTGACGCCTACGGGTGGCTATCTCTGCCCTTTTACGACTCCTTATGGCTCTCACTTATGGCTATCTCGCCCCCTTTACAACTTCCGATGACATCCACTGGTGCTTATCTCGCCCCCTTTACGACGACTCCTGATGACACCCACTGGTGCCTATGACGCTCCCTGCACGACAACGCTCCCGATGACGCTCCTAACGCCTTTCCTGTATCATCCGTGACATCCGCGGGAAGTCACTACGAGGTGAAGGCTTCTCCCGGATACGATTTTGGAATTAACGCACACAAGCCACCTTAATGTAATTACGCACAACGTTCATGGTACGGGATGTTTCTGTGACCTGTGCTTCAGTGATGTACTCGATGTACGCGTCCTTTCATGTCTGGCAGCCTTGAGAGACGTGGCAAGGCCGGAGACGCCTGCCAACTGCGCGTGTCGCCAGCATGCGAACTCCAGGCGAGATTTTCTACAACCCTTTCTACGTGTTCGTGTGCTATGCTCGTGCGAACCCATCTCCACAGAGGAGAGAAACGAACGACACGATGTGTCAAGCACAGCTAGTCGGGTGTCCTGTTGACATAGACCGCGAGTCGGGTGTCCTGCTGCCATTGACGGCGAGTCGCAAGAGGTGCTGGTGATCTCATAAGAAAAACATTGGCCAACAATGTAAAAGCTGCTCTTAAAGTACTCAAATGATCTTTGGTTCACTGCACCTGAATAGGCCATGGTGGGTACCACTGATTCATGCCGAACAATACTCAAAGCATGCATGTTGCTTTTCGTTGGATTTCACAGCTGTTAGAAATCGTTTGGTTCGTGTATATGTAACATCTAGTTATAACGACACATATCAAGTTGTCTCACACATCGCTGTATTTATAAATACTTGTTGGCATGTAAGTCAATGCCCTCATGCTCATCTATAAACCAATACATCTGTTAACCTAAGCGTGTGTAATTATGAGCGACGAGGATTCACACTGAGCGCCAGTAGGGTATAGTCCTTTAACATAACCCCGCGTCATGCGTCCCTGCATGCGCACTTATGGAGCTCACAAAAAAACATTTTCTTGAAGTATATCCTTCGTGATGCATTAAATGGACCATATGGTGATGTGTGTGTGTTTGTGTGTGTGTGGGGGGGGGGGGGGTGCGTGCGTGTGGGGGGGGGGGGGGGCGTGGGTGTGTGCTTGTGCCTGGGTGCATGCGTGTGTGTGCGCGTGTCCATATAAATTTGCTATAGCTATGCGTACATTTTTATCTCATAAATCGCGGCTCTGGCTTTCGGCCGCCCGCTTAGCAACAAGCTCGCCTAATCTGGTGCGCGGCCGAAACGGGAGCCCTGGACCTACAACCCTCGAACCAGACCGTTGCCCGTCCTAGCCTCCGTTAATGTTTTGCTACTGATATCGTGCGAGTGAGTTCCTCACCTGGGCGGGCATACGGCACAAATGCGGCATACGGCCGTACGCCGCCTTTGGCTGCGACCATTATTTTGCTTTCCTTGCTGGTTTCTGCTAATGGCCACCACTACCTACCTTCCCGCTTTGGAAACGCGTTCTTAAAGTTAGGCTTTTGCCTCCATCTCTTAGCAGGGCGTGTCACGACGTACGTTTATTATTTTTGTTGTCACCATAAGGGTTGTCGTGTCGATGGGAAAGTGGAAGGGGCACTCTTGGTCTCCTGCTAATGGGCGGTGGTTAACAAAGTAAGACTCCGACGTGGAAGCAGCGAGAAATCAAAACAAATAGGAACAATTCCTTCTGAGAGCAGACACAAATCCTGCCCGAAGGAAGCTTAGCTGCGGCTTCGGAGCAATTTGATAAAGCGCAAACCACCACATGGACATACAAAAATAGTTTTTTGATTTTTGATCAGGCAATATGCATCCCTTTTTGTGTTTTTGTATGTCCGTACATCACAGAAAATGGAGAGATAACTATTGGAAAAATGGGTGCATCAGTAGAAAGTTATGGAAGTTGTGAGATTTGCGCCTGTACTTGACTTCATCAGGCTGAATCACTTCCAGCTCCGACTGACAGCGCATTCTGACTCTTATTTCGAGAAGCAAACACGACTGAAAAAGATGTGGCTTGGTTGCAGAATCTGTATCAAAAGGGTCGACTCCAAAGGCGATGGTTCGGCACACAAATTTGTCTAGAAGCACCACGGCCCTTATTACGCATTTATTTTGGTGACAAGGCTAAAAAGTTGGGGCGTTTGGTTTCCTAAACGTGCAACAACTATTATGGTAAAATATCGCCGCCGTTTACGCTTCCATTTGAGTCAGGTCACCAATCATTCAAGCGTACGCGGTTGACTTAACTCCGACTTGGATTCACATGCGCTTTGAAAGGAATCGATTCGGGTATCCAAATCGATTCTACACTGGCTAACAAAGCTTTTGATGGCAATCCTGGATAAACATAGAGCCTAGCTAAAGCGGGTGTTAAAAGCATACGGTTGTACCCAGCACACCCACACCCTTGCACCCGTACGGCGTGCACCCGGCGCTCAAATCGATCCCGGCGGACCTCTGCCCACGGTCACAGCCCGTCCCCATGACAGCGCTTCTCCCCGCCCTCGCGCACGGACCGGTACATCCGCCGGGCACCGCGACGAGCAGCGCGCCTCGGGCTCAGACGTGGGCGGCCGCACGCTGAGCTCACTAACGACCCCGCTGTCGTGAGCCGTCTCACACATCAGCAGCTGTTCGGGCAGCTCGCCGTCCCGCGGGTGAGGCCCCGCAGATCGGCCCCGGCCGCTGGCGGGCGGTCCGCCTCCAGGCAGACCCCGGCGCCCCAGGGCAGGCTCTCCAGGTCCACGTTGCCACCGCAGAGGACGACGCCGACGCGGCGCAGCTCGGCCGGCAGCTGGTCAGAGAGCGCCGCCGCCACCGCCATGCCCGCGGACGGCTCGATCAGCAGCTGACGGAGGAACGGTCTAGATCAGCTGGTGACAGGCGGGAGGCCTGGGTCAGCAGCTGAGAAACAGTGGGCCTGGATCAGTAGCTGAAGGACGGGCGGTCCTACAGGTCCTTCTTCTTGCTCCCCAGGGAGCCTAGATCAGCAGCTGATGGATGGTAGGTCTGGATAAGTTACTGAAAGACGGGGGGCCTGGATCAGCAGCTAATGGACGAGAGGTCTGGATCAGCTCTCGATGGATGGGAGGTCTAGATCAGCTGGTGACAGACCGAAGGCCTGGATCAGCAGCTGATGGACGAGGGGTCTGGATCAGCAGTTAATGGACGGGGGGTCTATGTCAGCAGGTGCTAGAGACGAGAGGCCTGGATCAGCAGCTAATTGACGGCAGGTCTCGATCAGCTGGCGTCAGACATAGGGTCTGAATTGGCTCTTGACGGACGGAAGGCCTCTTGAAGGCCTCAGCTGCTGAGGAACAGGAGGCCTCAATCCAATGCTGAGGGAAGGAAGGCCTCAACCAGATGCTAATGAACGGAATACCAGGACAGCTAGTGTCGGACAGGACTTTCATCAATTGCTGAGGGGCGGGAGGTTCAGATCAGCTGCTGAGGGACGATATGCCCAGACTAGCTACTGGGGGACGGTAGGTCCAGATCAGCTGCTGAGGGATGGAAGGTCCACACAAACTGTTGAAAGACGGTAGTTCCAGATCAGCTGCTAAGGGGCGGTAGCTTCGGATCAGCTGCTGAGGGACGGCAGGTCTAGATCAGCCGCTGAGGGACAGAAGGTCGGGTTCGGCTGCCAAGGATAGCACCACTGGGACACAAATCGGCAACGTGCTTGCAGTGTGCAATCATGGCCGTTGGTACCTTGGTGCGCTGCCAAAAGAGCTGGGTGGCGCCAGCGATCTGGCGGTCGGTGACGCTGATGACAGGTGGCGCCACCAGGCGGCGTATCACGGCGAAGGCCCGCGGCGAGCACTGCTGCAGTCGGCAGCCATCGGCCAGCGTTCGCAGCATGCGCGGCGGGTCCGGCCAGAGCGGGCGGCCGGCCCGCAAACACGGCTCCAGCTGCTTGCCGTCCGGCTCGACAGCCAACACTGGGGAAGAACGGTCACGGGTCACCGGTCACACTGGGGAACACCGGTCACAGGTCACCGACCACACTGAGGAACACCAGTCACTGGTCACCGGTCACGCTGGGGAACACCGGTCACAGGTCACCGGTCACGCTGGGGAAGAACGGTCACAGGTCACCGGTCACACTGGGGAACACCGGTCACAGGTCACCGACCACACTGAGGAACACCAGTCACTGGTCACCGGTCACGCTGGGGAACACCGGTCACAGGTCACCGGTCACGCTGGGGAAGAACGGTCACAGGTCACCGGTCACGCTGGGGAACACCGGTCACAGGTCACCGGTCACGCTGGGGAAGAACGGTC